TGTTAAAATAAATAAATAAATAAAAATAAAGAAAAAAAGATCTAATAGTGAGACCCTGAACACCCTGTAGACCCTTCCCTAAAATATAGAAATAAAATAAAAACTTTAAAAGGCCCTTCAGGGGCCGGGGAGATAGCTCAGTGGAAAAAGTGCTTGCCTGTTAAGCACAAGGTCGTGAGTTCAATCCCTGGGTACCACAATAAATAAATAAATAAATAGCCCTGCAGAGTCAGGAATATAGCTCAGCAGCTCAAGAGCCTACCTAGCAAGTACAACATCCTGAGTTCAATTCCCAGAACAAAATAAATACCCCTGGATTTAAACTCTAGTACCATCCCCCCCACCCAGTACTAGGGATGGAATTCTGCATCTTGCGCTTGCCAGGCAGGTGCTTAAACTGCGGAGCTATATCCCCAGCCACACCAGTACCATTTTAATTAAAAAAAAAAAAAAAAAAAAAAAAGGTGTTATGCAGTCTGTACTTTTTCAGGGAATATGGGACCGGGGAAATGTCTTGTTTTTATTTCTGCATTGGGAAGAGAGATTATTAGAGATTAAACTCAGGGCCTTGCACATGCTTGGCAGCATTCTACCCCAGCGGTCTTTAAAACAAATAACCAGGGCCTCATTATGCAATCCAGGCTGGCCTTGAACTCACTATGTACCAAGGGGATAGCCTTGAATGCACAGTGATCTTCCTGCCTCAGATTCCCAAATGCTGTGGTTACAGATGTGCACCATTTCCAGCCTGCATTTATTTATTTAATTATTTAAAGACTAGAGATTGAACCCAGAGGATACTGAGCTGCATCTCCAATACCCTCTCCTTTACTGGTGTCTTTTTTAAAAATATTTATTTATTTATTTGTGTGTGTGTGTGTGTCCAGCTCAGCCCACCAGGGGGCGGGGCTGGCTGGCATGTGGTGCTGGGGGGTTGAACTGCAGTCCCTGTGCTTTGCTAAGTTGTTCTAAATAGGTGCTTTAGACCACTGAGCCATCTCACCAGCCCCTCCTTTACTGGTTTTGCAACAGGGTCTCACTATATAATTCAGGCTAGCCTTGAACTTACAGTGTGACTGAGGCTGGCCTAGAACTCATGGTGATCCTCCTGCCTCAGCCTCCCAAGTGTTGAGGTTACTGGCATGGGACTCATGGCGATCCTCCTATCTCAGCCCTCCCAAGTGCTGGGGTTACAGGTGTCTACCATCAC